CATAGAGTCACCATATAAAGATGATCTGTCAGTTCTTTCTTTCACAGCTCTAAGCGAGGGATGGAGGTGGTTCCAATTGCTGTGAGATTTTGACCACCATCCTGAGCTGGATGCTTCCTAAACTGAACAGCTGTCAGAATAGCTTACCAGTTCCTTCACAGAGAGACAGACATTTTTGTTAATGGGAATTCTTACACAAATAGCTTGACAAGAATAAAAAATGGCCTAAGGGAAAAGAATAAGTAACATATCTCCCACCTTAACACTATAATGAAATGGTTTAAAATGGTTCCTCTCTGCGAAGACAAACAGAGACTCAGCCATTCAAAATAGGGTGTTCTTTTCCTGTTTTGATTTACTGACTATCTAGACAAGAATAATACTTGAGGAATAGAGAGCAAAAAAATGAAGATGAGATGGAGAAGCACAACACTGCTTCTCTCTGCTACGTAACTGTGAGCCATTCACATGCCCTGGGAACATATTCATGTGTCTCTGTAGGTGTTGATCACAGGGTTATGACAGTGCCATGTTTTGTAGGTCTGAGGAGAGTGGAGGACAGATGTCTGCTTTTGTTTCCAAAAGTGCAGGGTTACCAGAATCCAGGGGCAATGTTCCCCCATCAGGCACACGACAGAGCAATGGTCAATGCACAAAAGCATTCATCTCAGCAAGCTGCCCTAAGTTTAAATAACAACATTTCCTGTGCACAGGATAGCAGAAAGCAAAATGACCTTATTTTGGTTATACAAAATTCAAAGAGCAAGCAAGACAAACCAAACTGGGTGAAGAGGCTTTTATATTCTCCAGCAGGGGATCAATCTTACCCCTTCTCCCTACTTACAGAATTGGGATATGGCATAGAAACCAGTACTGATTTCAGAAAACAGGAAAAAAGATATTTAAAAATACAGTTTTCATTTTCAATACCCTCTTGGATCCCCTCACACAGCTCTCTCATCCCTTCACTTACTATGCTGACACTGTATGACCAAAATTTGAGAGATTGAGTTTTATTCCACCTCTACTAAATATTAATTTTTCGTTAAAAAAGTCTATAACTGTGCTGGTTTGGCAGGATTTTTGGTAGTGGGGGAGGGGCAACATAGGTGGCTCTGGTAAGAAGCTGAGATGTTCCTCCAGCTCCAAAACCAGTGAGCCAAGGAGCCATTAGAGAGGGACAATAGATGCACCTCTGTGATTAACATACAAAAGAAATGAAATAAGACCATAGCAGAGCAAGCAGAGCAAGCAAAAAGAGCTGGAGAGGCAGAGTAGTGTCCATGGCTGGTGAGGAAGAAGGGGAAGAAGGTGGCCTAGCAGAAGTTTCCCTGCAGCCTCTAGCAAGATGGCAGCTGTCCCCCTGCATTCATGGAGGAACATGGTGGAACACTCCCTGAAGATGCCAGGAGGGGTGAATTTGGATTTGCTACCAGAGGACTTGGATTATTCAGCTGTGAAAGACCCCGCGGCAGGAGAGGTGACTGTTCCCGGAGCAGCCCATGACTCTGTGGGAAGCCCACACTGGAGCATCTTGCTCCTGACCTTGTGGGAAGGAGTCATGAAGGAGAGGTTTGTGGAGGACTCTCTCCCATGGCAGGAACCCTGTGGGGAAGCAAGGGAGGACTGAGGAGGAAGGAGCAGCAGGAAACACCAGACTGAGGATTTACTCTAAACCCCATCCCCTGACACCTGTAGCATTGAAGGGAAGGAGGTAGAGTAACAAATCAGACCAGGAAGAAGGGAGGGGTGGGGATAATGTATGTAAGTGCTGCTCCTTTTGTTGTCTGTGCCCTGTGTGCATTTGATTAGTGTGATTTTTTTTTTATTTTATTTTTTTTCCCCAAGTTGACTTTGTTTTGCCTGTGACCTTAATTGGCGAAGAACCCTCGTTGTCTTTTGTCTCGACCCATGAGCTTCTAGTTGGCCTTTGTTCTCCCTTCCCACAGTGCGAGGTGGGGGCGTGGAGGCCAAAATTTGAATGGGCAGCCATGTGGCTGTTTCTTTGTTGTGTTAGGCCCAAATCATGACATGCCCAAACCACAACAATAAAATGTGAAACTCCATGAGTATTTTCTTTAGTCTACATTTGAGCATTCCTCTTAAAATACCACATTGAAAATTAACATTATTTTCTAATGTTTGATGCTAGAAAATATTGAGCCTATGTTTACGATTTATTAACAATGCAGCAAAAGTTAGAATAAGTTTCCTGATGCAGGAACTGAAGAAAAAATTCATACATCACATTAATAGTTATAATCATATGTGCTTGTAACTCATTAATTTTTCAGTATTCCATCTGAAAGAAAGGAAGAGAAAGTTGTCAATTTAAATCAAATGGGTAAGGCAACTTTGAATTCCTTAGAGCTTATACATACCAGATACGGTGTTGAAAAGCATCTTTTTGTACTCATTACTATGTACACGTATGATACATTGTGTCATTAGAAAAGTGAGAAGTGAGAATCAGGGCTGAGACTGTACTCTGACCAGAGAATGTATTGAGAACAGTCCTGAGGAAAAGGACTTTGGGGTGTTGGTTGATGAAAAGCTAAATATGAGCCATCAATGTGCGCTTGCATCCCAGAGAGCCAGCTGTATCCTGGGCTGCATAACAGGAATGGCCAGTAGGTCAAGAGAGGTGATTCTCTCCCTCTACTCTGCTTTCATGAGACTCACGTAGGAGTACTGTGTTCAGTTCTGGAGTTTCTAAAACAGGAAGGACATGGACCAACAAGTCCAGAGGAAGGCCATGTAGATGATCAGAGAGCTGGAGCACCTCTCCTATGAAGACAGCTCGGGCTGTTCAGCCCAGAGAAGAGAAGGCTTTACGTAGACCTTATAACAGCCTTCCAGTACCTGAAGGGGGGCTACAGGAAAGCTGGGGAAGGACTTTTTAGCAGGGCATGTAGTAACAGGACAAGGGGTAATGGCTTTAAACTAGAAGAGGGAAGATTTAGGTTAGACACTAGGAAGAACTTTATTTTTTTTCCCCATAGGATCAGAGAGATATGGAAGGAATGATGAAAAAAAACAAACAAAAAACAAATCCTGTTTGGAAAAAAAGGCCAATATAAAAGGAAAATACTTGGAAATATTTTTCCTTCCGATCCTACTGCCTCCAAATTCTTGCCTTTTTCACACAGAAGATCTATTTCTGGCCTCCTCAGCCTTCATATAAAACTGCTGCTGCTTCCCGTTTACCTTGTCTGTCTTACCCCTTTCTGGATGAAACTCAGGGACCACAGACAGCTCAATTATGAAGGAAATAATTAAATCTTGCCCTATCTGCTCCCAAACTACCACGACAGCTAATCTTTCTGACCATTTCAGTTGTTTCAGGATGATAGTATCAGAAGTAAAGGCCCTTGACAGTTATTTTTAGTAAAATTTTCGAAGTGATGTTATGGTTTAGATACAAATACCATAGTGGCAATTTTTTCAGATACAATAACTTGCTACTAAGAAATTTTATACATTGATTGTCTGACAGTAAACATATTGAATCTTAGACTATTAGCAAAATAGAACTATAAAAACCTGATGTTTTCATTGTTCTGCAAAAATTGTTTCATCTTACCAAGACTATTACACATATCCAGCAGATTTCATCTCAGTCAAGAGACTAAAAATGCCCATTAGCTTAAGAAAACCTGTTTTCCAAGTATATCCTCATATAATTTCACAAAGGTTATACCATTATGTCATAAAAAGGAACAGCATCAGATACGCATTCATGAAGAATTTTTTTTCTGAAACATTTTAAGTCCACTACCACCTTTGAGACATTCATTAATTGTTCCACAAAATTCTCACACTGTACATCAGTTTAGAAAGTAACTCATCCCACAAATGAAGTAAAGAAAAAATGTAATTGGATCCTATTAAAGCTGAAAACATGTAGCTGAAAACTTTAAACCAGTAACAAATTCAAACCCCAATACCAGAGCATTCAAGGTTAAATACAAATGCTCTTAAATTTAGAAGAAATCAAATTAATATCCACATGTATATTTTTTGGTATCAGTGCTTTCTCAAGCTTGCTGTGGGGGTATCTCCAGATTGATTTCACTTCCTCAGTTCAGACCATGACCTATTTCCAAGCCTGTTTTGCAATTATATGAAGCATTCTGGCCAGAGCAGCAACACAGATATCTTCCCTTTGTATTTTATTTTTCAATTATTATTATTAATTTTTAATAAAAACATTTTCTTTAAGACTGAATTAAATTAGAAATACCATCAGTCTCTTTCTTTCCTAGTATATTACAGATGCATTTAGTTTTCAAATCATGTATCTGATCCTGCAAGTGCATGCTTCTCAGCACTCCTCTTTGCCTTAGACCTGGCAATTTGAGATATGCCATGTCCCTAGCAACATCAGTAAGGTGCATTATTGCACCCATTCTATTATTTTGATATCCCACTAAAACTGAAGGATATTAAAAAATAATTGCTTCCTCCTCAAGCACAGTTTTGCAAAAATTATACTGCACATCTGCGAGGAAAGATGTACCTAAACCAGTTCTCACCTTGCACACCATCTGGGACAACTAGTGTGGGGCAATTGTGCAGAGGGCCAGCACATATCATGTGTGCTATCAGCATGACAGGGAAAAAACAGCATTATAATCCTGAACAGATCTACAGCTAGTGGCAAGATACTGATTAGCAGCGGGCAAGTGAAGTACAGCATAAAATAGGATGCAGTAACATATACTGCCTTTGTTCTGTCTGCTGTTTAGAGGTGTTGCTACAGGAACCAGCAGTGCACACAGACCTTTGCTTATACCAATGGCTCAATTATAATGTTAGTGCACACCATAAGAAGCTTGAAGAATATGTTATTAAATCTAACCTATATAAAATTATCATGACACTGTTCTGACCAATATTTCCCTTTATGTACTAAAATAAAAGATGGTATCATACACCCCAGATCTCATTAACCCTTTGGCAAGTAGAATTCAATCCAGTATAATTTGAATTTACTATACCTCACTAAACTGCTGGCAGTGTCGGGATCTTGTGCTGTTACTGTACCAACAGTTGTCCCAATCTTTGCATTTTCATAAACTTCCATGACATAGGAAGGCATAGTGAAGAGTGGAGGTTCATCCACGTCGCCAACAATGACCTTCAACATTGTTACATCTTTGAATGGTCCCAAGTGCGAAAAGCGGAAATCAAGGTGAGTATTAGCTCCTTCTATGTTAAGTGTATACGACTTCTTTTTTTCATAGTTAAGAGGCTGTTGGCAGAAAAAAAATTATTTATCAATACCATTCTGTGGTTTAGTTTATCCTTCTAGCAAGCTAACTACTTTTCTGTGTAACTTAAACCACATTTCTTCATGTCAATGGAAAGGCACAATATTCTGTGATAAGTCTGGCAGCCACTGCCATACCTTGTAAGTAGAAGGACATCTGTGAAGCAAGATGAAGTCAGGTTTTCTCTACAACAGAATTGTGGGCAAGGCAGCTGTTTTGGAAAAACTCAGGGTTTAGAATGTCAGATTCTTTTTCTGTGACAAAGTAAAATATCTGAATTTTATCACCTTTCGATTTTTATTGGTCAATGCTAAATGTTGAAAAAGGTAGAACCTGATGTATCCCAAATTAAATTAACTTAATATCTTCAATTAACATGTTTAATAAACAGTGATGAGAATACTTAAATTCTTATCTTCTCTTTAACCCTCAACTGAAAAAAGCAGCTCCTTGCAGGAAAGCACTCAAGTTATCACAGAATTGACACAGTTGGAAAAGATCTCTAAGGTCACCACATCCAACTGTCAACACCCACCCCTCAAAAACATAAAAAAAAGCCCACTAGAGCATGTTCTGAAGTGCCTTATCTACACATTTTTCAAATACCTCCAGGGATGGTGACTCCACTACCTCCTTGAGCTGAATTGTTCTGTTTGGAAAAGACTTTTAAGATCATCGAGTCCAACCATAACCTAACTCTACCAAGCATTAACCTAAATCTAGCAAGTCCAGAGCTTAAACCATGTTCCTAAGCACCACATCTGAAGATCTTTTAAATACCTCCAGGGATGGTGATTCAATCACCTCCCTGGGCAGCCTATTCCAGTGTTTATTTACTCCTTCCATGAAGAAGTTTCTTCTAGTATCTAATTCTAAACCTCTCCTGGTGCAACTTGAGACCATTTCCTCTTGTCCTATTGCTAGTTACTAAGGAGAAGAGACAGACCCCCACCTTGTTACAACTTCCTTTCAGGTAGTTGTAGGGAGCGATAAGGTCAGCCCTTTCCCTCCTTTTGACCAGGCTAAACAAACATAGTTGCCTCAGATTGTTTTCACAAGACTTCTTCTCCAGATCCTTCACTGGCTTTGTTATCCTTCTCTGGACTTGCTTCATCACCTTGATGTCTTTCTTGTAGTGAGGGGCCCAAAACTGAACACAGTATTTGAGGTAAGGCCTCACCAGTGCTCAGTACAAGGCAAAAATCACTTCCCTATCATAAGAAACAGGAATTTTAATGTGTAAGAATAGCCTAAATGTGCTTATGTGCTTTTCTAATCAGAAAGAGTGCATCACGATATCCTAAACCATTTTCTTTTAAAATCTGCACCAGTAATAATGAGAGAGAGAACTCTTTGACCTCAGTCTCACCATGTACTGCTGTGCTGCACGGGTATAATGCAGTCATAAATGAGAAGGAATTCTACAGCCAAGGATATGCCTTCTACAAGGCCTAATTTTCCAATAAAACTCAATAGAAGGCACAATCGCAGCTGTACCACCCAACAGAAACACCACTGCCACTTGAATATTGTCCTGTTATTCAAATCAATAGATTCCCACTAGGAATCCTACCTCCCTGCTAGGAAGGAAGAAGCTAAGGGATTGACTCATCTATCACACAGCATGGATACTTTCTTAGCAGTCCCAGTTCTAGCTTGCTACTTACACGTGAAAATTTCATCTCCTGAGTTCAGTTGGTTTTCAGATTATTGTGAACTAATTCTACTGACTTTATATACTTATTTTAATGCTATATTACCATGCTATTACACTGCTTTATGCAAGATAAAAGATACACAGGTAATTTAGCTCCATGACTGGATATACAATTAAACAGTGCTTTTTACTGAAAGCCACAGTACACAACCACAACCATTTTGAGTCAGTTTCTTTAATGTCACTAAAGTCACTGACTACTTCTCATAAACAGCCCATTGAGACAGCCATCCTGAAATAGCTTTTAAAAATACCAGTTCAGCTTAGATGTGTTAAATATCTTAAGAAACTGTTCCAAAAACTAGTAATCAATAGCAAAAATGCAAAACTCTTTTACCCCAGTTTATGATCTGAGTAACTACCTTTTTCTTGATTTTGCAGAGGAAAAAAAAAAAAATAAATGAAGAACTGTCAGTCTCTTCCAAACTCTTCTGTAATCATAGCATGTCCCCACTTTCCAGATAGAGTATGAGCCAGTCTCTCAGCTCAAAATTGTACTATAATGACTGTAGGGGCTGACTGCAGGGACCGGCAATGACAATGACGACAAGGCCTATGGGAGAAAACCTAACAGAGCTACCACATAATGAGGCACTTAGGACTGAAGCTGTTTACACACTGAAGTATCAAGGATAATCCCTGTTGTAATTTTTTGAACCCTTCTAAGTATCTGCCTACACTTCCACAAAGACAAGTTTCTGGGAAATAAGTAAACCTCAGAGGACACGAAGCATGCAGTGTTGCCACTTATCCATTTCACCAAAATACGCTAGACCATGCAGTTATAGAACAGATTTCAAAGTTGCAGATTGCAGTTTTTAAAATGTGTTTCTATGTTGAGAAATCTTTATTGATAATAGACACCTCAGTACTTAGTGGGTTACAAATACCTGGCTTTAGCCAATTTATAAGAAAGGATAGGTAGGTTCATATTTATTATTACAACAAACAAAGTAGACAGTTGCACAGACATATATATATATACCACCATTAAATTTCCAACATTGTTAGGACACAGGCATGATACTAAAAGAACCTGAATACACATGTAAGTTTGTTTGGTTTTTTTTTTATATACAATAGAAATTATCATGATTTTATGGCATGGCAGAATTCTACTACAACCAGTAGTGTTCTGTGTGGACCTGAAAGCCTGGCTGAAAAGAGGTCAGTACAAGTATTCAGATCTTCAGTCAAGGCTAAACTGGTACTTCCTATCAACCTGAAGAGTGGAAAAGTAATACTTATGGAAAGAAATATGAAGAACTCAATGTGAATTGTCAATGTCAGTGTGTACCTTGTAGATAAAATCCGTGAATTTAACTGATCACATATAAGAAATTGAGTTGGTCAGGATTTACATATGCTAGATATTCCTTTGATTTCTCCTCTATGTATTGAAGGACAATTAATTCATTCTCTTTACTCTAATAGTATGAGATTTTTTTGTCTTTTTCTTTCTCCATCTCCCTTTCCTGAATTAAAAATTAAAATTTTAAAGGCATGGCATTTTACTACAGCTTGATAAGTATACTACAATTAAAAAGAAAAAGAAAAAAAAAAAAAAAAAAAAAAAAAAAAAAAAAAAAAAAAGTGAGTTGAGTATAGCACTCAAATTTATAAAGAAATATAAGTTTAGTAAATTCTAACTCAGATGTCAATCATTAATTTATGTTGTATTTCATTTATGAGCAGGAAAATATGAAATAGGAATTTCCATTGCTCTGGAGCAAATATGTTCTAAGATTTAAAAAGTTTACAATAGGGTTTCAAATTGTAAATCTGACCCTTTTTTTTAAAAACTAAATTGAGCTTATACTGACAGTGATTGGATTAGGTTGGATAGGAAGATTAATTTCTCCCAGAAAACACAAATAGAATCATACAAAGCCCAAAGTATTGTTTCTTTCTTTTGTATAGTTATTAAATCAGAAAATATCAACACTTTTTTTTTCTTTGTCCAGAAATACAAGAATAATCCATCCTAATAATTAGAAAAAGCTGACACTTTAACCATAGCCAAGGCTGTTTTTTTACTTTGATTTTCTCCTTTCTTCTTGTCTCTGAATTAAAGAATCAGATGCTGCGACATAAGAGAAAAACAGTCTACTCTCCTGCACTGTGGTTCACAGAAGTGAAAAAACAACATTATTTTCAACACTGAGCTATTTTAGATAGAAAAATACATACTATGCTAAGCCTTACTATTACCAGGGGTCACAATTAAATTTTTTTTACCTTGTTCTCTCCCAAGGAGCAGTAAGGAACTTTACAAGTAAAGTAAGTCCTGTGACAATCCACATCTTTGAACAACTCATGACTACAGTTGTTATATCACATTTCCTTTTGGTAAAAATATTAAAAACCAGAAATCTGGTTGCAATTTGAATCTATAGAACTGTATTTTGTTAGGCTTCTCCTTCAACACTGTGTATGTGTTAAAATAGACATTTAGCTTTCATTTGAAGAAAAACTTGGATTTCCGTTCATAGCCTGTCTAACGTGCTTAAAAGAAATTTGCTCATAGACTCATCAGTTATTTCAGGTAATCTGAGCTGTTTACCAGTAGGAGGTTTTAATTGCCATCTTCTCCTTTTTTTCTTTTTTACATATAATTTATTAATCATAACATTCAGCTTAAAAAAACTAAGCTATTCTAATTCAGGAAGAGTTTGGGAATTAAAATTCTAATAAAAAACAATTCACATTTACAAAGGAAATATTTCAACTATTCCATCAATTTTTTAATAGGACTCATTTAACTCCAAATAACCAAACATAAATATGTGGTTTTGTTTTTTCTGACCCCTTACTTTCTCCATGAGAAGCAAATACTCAAATAAATTGCTTGCAATGATGTTCACTCTTCATGTGTAAAACCTAAATTTAAATTCTCCTTCATTTAACTCACAGGCCTTGAACATCTGTTGCCTATCTCAGGCATTAGCTGTAAGGTAGGAGAGGAAGCACTATTCTGCCATTCTAGAAATCTAGATTTACTTAAAATTGTCCCAACACTGAAGATCATGAACTCTTTCCTGGACAAAAACCAAAACTTTTAAATTTTTGATGGACCAAAATATAGTTTTTGTTCATGTTTTATTTTCCCAAAGCATAATGACTTTCCATGACCATTAGCCACATATCTCCAGTATGTATTCACTGCTTATTCTGATTTTCATGCAAAACTGAAAGTAGTAAATGTAGCTCAAGCAACCAGCTTCTGGAAAATACCGTTCTTCATTATATTGTAGTTTGTGTTTCTAGTACCAGGCTCCCAAAAGGAACGAAGAATTTTATCAGATATAAATAGCTGCTTCCTGAGCATTTCCAGTCTCATTATACAAAATGGAAGAGAAATGGGCTGTTAAGACTTTTTATTTCTGGGAAGCTTGAATGTTCCTGACTGACTTGACATCAAGAAAGTATGGCATACTTCTGCAAAAGTCACAACAAGGTAGGGAAATATTGAACAGCCATTCTTCAAAGGATCCAGAGAATAACGGCTTTTACTGTGCTTTTTTGTTTTGGTTTCCTTTAGTCTGCCATTCAAACTAGGAACTGCATAAAGCAAAGGATAAATCCTTCATGACAGTATGCAATCTTCCCTATGTAGCAGAACCTTTGAGACTGAAAGGTAGCTCCACAGGGCTTGTCAACAGGAGAGATGATGAAAGTACTGGATGTTGTCGGTCAGTCCAGAAGGAGACTAGAAAAGATTCCTTACAAGACTTATGTTATCAGCCTAGCATGGAGGTGCTGAGAAATTTTATTTTTGCATCAGAACCTAAAAAAAGTGAAATTTCGAAAGGTTTGAGGAGGACTTCAGACCTCCAGACACAGTAAGATATTTACTTCTGCATTTTCTGATGTACTTAATATGCATTCTTCCAGAAAAGTATTAGAAGAGGACAAATAATTTCATTCTACTGTTACATAAGGTACTAGCATCTAACATATGAAAGAAAACTGATTCTGTTCTTGGCAGACATTACCTGTTTTGGGTAGGCTATTAAACTAGTTCAGCTTCAAACCCAATCTAAATTAAAAGTAATTACAACACACACTATATAAAATACTGATAAAACTGCATACAAGATCTGACTAAAAAAACTATTTTAAAAATGAGATTACATTTTTGTGCTGTACAAGGGGATATTATAACTCCTCTGAGGAAATAACAGAGGTACTCCATACGAATTTATGTAACTTAAAGTGCTGAATTTCTGCTCAACTGAAATGTGAATTACCTAAGAAAAACACAGCCTTTCTTGTCTTGATGGAAAAATTACTAAAATCATTGTCATGTGTATGCATAAGAACAGGCACCCTATGATTTTTTCATATTCTAAAACACAGTGGAAATGTATATGAAGTAATTTTTTTGGCCAAAAAAGTAAGAAATGTGATTTCACACATTTTAAGTGTGATGTTCTTAATTTTGTTGCAAATACTTCCTTTCTGATTCATGTTCTCAACATTCCTAAATGTTGCATTTAACAAACTATAGTAATGATGAATTTTTAAACAGAGAATTTATCATTTTGAAGAAGATATAACAGGTCATGGCATTAGATACATCAAGGCCACCAGGAAATAACTTCTGTGATACAAAAGAGACAGTTTACATTTATGTAGCTGAAAGATCTGGGCATTACACAACCTTTATAAGAAGACACTGAATTAAAGCTTAAGATACTAGCTGAGATAGCAACCCCTTAAAAATAATTTTTAATTATAAAAATAATATTTCCTTCAGTTTCTAAGTATTTTAAGATATTAAATTAAAATTTATATACATACATATCTATTCAGATGCAAAACAGCAACATTCTCTATAATGGTTTTAATTTTTTCTCTTTTCCATTTTTTCTCTTGTTCTCACTCTCCTAATGTTAATCAGACACAAAATGTATATTGCAATAGGAATACAAATTCACTTTTATTTTTTATGCTGCATGGATATAATTGCTGCATACACAACTCAATAACAACTAATCCACATGAGAATTGCTAATTGATGTCTGTTAGTTCAAGTGAAAAGCTGAACTCAATAAACTATTTCCCTTTGTTGGAAAGGCTTTAAAAAAAAAAATAAAAATATTACATATAGTAAGCTATCTGTCTTGGTTATTATAAAAGTAAATTTAAATCTAGCCATATAATATTAGCATAAGTTGGCAGCCACTTCAGAAAATGTTCACTATAAACTCAGTGCAGAAAACTTAATATGGAGATGAAACAACCTATGTAATTAGATTTGAGCATGGAATTCTGTTAAGAATGACATTAAAAGGCAAGAACACTTTATAATAAATAGTTTCAATATACTGGGATAATATAGGAAATTCATATAAATGAAACTGTGTGATGGCTTGACCAGTTATATTTTGAGTCCTTATAAGCAAGTCAATGTTTACATTATACAATACTTGAACTTTAAGATACCAGCTGCCAAGAAAGTAAATTAATAACATTCAGTGAAAACTAAACTATACACTCATTGCCACAGAGAAACTTTCTGTGTAAAGATTAACTTATTTAAATTGCAAAGCCATCATTCAGAAAAATTAAACTATCTTAACTTTTTCTAAAATTCAGTAAGATTTAATTTATTATAATAATAGATAGAATCATAGAATAATTTATGTTGGAAAATACCTTTAAAATCATCAATACCAACCATTAACCTAACTTTATCAAGTTCACTGCTAAACTGGGTGCCCAAGAACCCTATCTATAAGACTTTTAAACACATGTATGGGTGTTACTTCCCTGAGCAGCCTGTTCCAGTGCAACTTGAAACAATTTTCTCTTGTCCTGTTCCTTGTGAGAACAGAGGAGCAGTAAAATATCCCTTCAGCCTTCTTTTCTCCAAACTAAATAGCCCAGCCCCCTCAGCTGCTTCTCATAAGACTTATCCTCAAGAGCCTTCACCAGCGTAGTTGCCCTTCTCTGTACCCACTCCAGCACATTGATTTTTTTTCTTATACTGTAGCCCCCAAAACTTAACGCAGTACACAAGGTGCATCTTCACCAGTGTCAAGTACAGCAGGACAATAAGTTCTCTAGACCTGCTGGCAACACTATTCCTGATGCAGGCTGGGATGCTGTTGACTTTCTTGGCCATCTGGGCAGACTGCTGATTCATTTCAGCCAGCTGTCAATCAACACACTCAGGTATCTTTCTACTAAGCAGCTTTCCAGACTCTCTGCCACAAGTCTGTAGCACTGCTGGGGTTGTTGTGGCCCAAGTGCAGGACTTGACACTAGGTCTTGTTAAAGTCCATATGATTGGCATCAGCCCATCTATCTGGCCTGTACTGGTCCCTCTGAAGAACTCTCCTACCCTCAGGCAAATCAACAATCCCACCTAACTTGGTGTCATCTGCTTACTTAGAGAGGGTGTTCTCAATCTCCTCATCCAGGTTGTTGATAAAGATACTAAACAGGAGTATCCCCAGCACTGAGCCCTGGGAAACACCATTTGTGACCATTGAAAAACCACAGAAAACATAAATAACTGCTGTGATTTTTTCCTTGAATTTCTTTTCTTCCTGCTTTTCCTGCAAAGATTTAAAGTGCCTCAGGAAGCAACATGGAGAAGCTTATGTTACTGAAGTTCATGATTCCATAGGTTTGCACTGTAAAATATTTTCTTTATGCTATATGCTTATTCAGCATTCATCATTCTATTTTAATGACATACACAGGGAACTTTCAAAGTCTATTCCTTACCTTCTTCAGGGAAAGAATCCCTTCCCTTGTTTCTTTGTCAGTGGATATGGAGAACACCCCAGAGCCATCACCATTTATAATTGTGTACTTCATATCTGCATTTGAACCAGTATCTGCATCATTTGCTTTGATTTTACCAACGGCTGATCCAACTTGAGCTGATTCAGGAACATAGAGTTGATAATGTTCTGAAGGGGGAAAAACAAAACAAAACACAACACAATAGCTTGAATATTTTGTAGGCAAACTAAATTAGAGAAGTCTTATGTACTTTAAACACTCCTGAGTAAATGGAAGAGTATCTCATATGCAAACCCAACAAATAAGCTTATGAACTTTTTTAGATTCCTGAAAGAATTCAAAAGGGAATTGTATTTTACCTGGGATGCCTTAATTCCCTACTCAAAACTCAAATAATCTAATGCAGGATATTGGTTTTTAAAGTTATTTTTGCTCTTCATGACATAACACAAAAATTAATTCTGAAGCTTACTTCACACCAGTATTTTTTAAAATTTATCTTCTCCATAAGCAAAATAAATTTATCTTCACCAACTAATCATCAAATGAGTAGTCAAATCAGTATTTTTTCACTAAAAAACATTTTTATGCGATATTTATGTTTATAGTTTTTGTTCTGAAATCTTAATAAGTTTTGAAACATTGTATCAATATTTCACACTACTCAATCAGCACCTATTTTTTTCTACAGAAAAATGCAATACTTTTTTATATTTTACCATTACCATTTTGCAGTGGCTTCATTGCAGCACAAAACCCTTTGCACACAAATTTTACTTAGTATCCACAATAAAGGAAAATAAATATAATGGATACATAAAAGTATTACACAGTTGTGCCCATAAAAAGCATCCAGAACAGCTATGATGTCCTTTCAATTTTTTTTATAATGTGTTAGGTTAATCATTAGAAAATGAAACATTTTTCTGAAAAAAATATTGTCTTAACTGTCTCTGTACTTTTGGTTTAAATCTCCCAACAGTTACAAAGTTACCTGGGGTACATGAAGAGGCCACGGGAGAAAAAAGTGGCAAACAGACACAATGTGATTACATAAACCTCAATTTCATTCTGAAACTAGGGCAGAAAAACAGCTCAAAGAAATTTTCTCCAATAATCCTAGTGTTGTAACACCACAGGGATGCTGAAACCTACCAGCAATGAAAAGGAGAATACACATTCAATAGAATGTGTGCACACACCAAAAAAACCCAGCAACCCAAATAAACTCTCATCCAAATTCCTCCCCTGCAGTGTGCACAGTAGACATCTCAGGCCAACCACTAATACAGAAAAGAGATCAAAAAGACAACTTCTGTTATAATACATCTTTTGAAACCCCAGAAAGTTTTTTCTATATTCCTCTTCAACATGCTGTGACCATGAATGCTATGGCGCAAGAAGGAGATGCAGGAGAGTGGATCAGATGATGCTACCTATCATTAAGCTAACATGTTGTTAGTTTGTCAAGTTTAAACCAGCTAGGATGAGTGCAGAGGTAGCCTCAGAAGGCATGTAGAAAGAGAAAGGTAAAATTTAAATCTGCACTGAGGCAGAAAAACACTATTAGTTGGATGGACTGAAGAAACTGTGAAACTACAGAAGTTGCAACTGAAGTGAAAAGTGATTTTATCACTATAATACAACTAACTTTAGTCACTTGTTAGGAAATAGACCTTTTTGTTACAAATTTGTCTAATTACTTCCATAGTGGTTCCTAGACTTATATATAGTCTTGAAGATTTATTTTTTTTAATGAAACTAGCCAGTAACACTAATTTTTAAAAAATAGTGGGAAGGATGTACAAGTATAATACACTTGGTTAGTCCAAAAAGAAAGAGGTTTCCTAGGAAAACAAAAACAGGTTACTGTGCATGAAGAAATCTCAACAGAAAGAAGAAATAACCAGCAGAACAACAACAACGAAAAAGTATAATTTATGATATAAAAAAGATAATAAATCAACACTGATGTAACAGGAAAATTGCTTAGTAGTTGTTTCAATTAAAATGCACAGTAAATTATTTGATGCAATTCTTTGATATGCATATAACAGCCATATTAAAAAATCTCAAAGAAAATTATGTGCCATGCATTCTTTTGCAATGCTTTGTGCTTACAGATTATGTCAACTGGCATTTTCATATTACTGGTTGTTTTATTTCATACATAAAATTATAGTGATGGGATGAGATTCATTTTGACATTTACTTATTGTTAAAATAAATGTGAAATGTGGTCTTCTGACACTTTTATTCTGACTAATGCGTTCCAAAAAGGAAAAGTTTGAGGCCATAAAGAATATGTTATGGAGTGGCCATAAAGAATATGTTACATAATCAAACCACTTCAGGAACTGGAGGTGTTATAACCCATAAGATAGGGTGAAGTAATTTGAGACTTCCAGTAGTCGATCTAGTTCAAATATATCCACATGACATTACACTCTGCTTTATAATCACACCCCAAGTGTTAGCCATCTGTTTCAGAAATCATTTTACTGATACTAGCTTCAAACATTCTGAAATACTTAAGCTTTAAGCAAAACAAGTATTAAAAATCACCAATTAATTATTTATCAGTATTTGTACAACTGAAATGTTTCTAAAAATGAATTAATTAAAACTGTTAAAAAATAAACACTCCTAGACAATAAGGTCAGAAATGTCTCCCAAAGAGTATTTAACCACTGCATCACAGAGACAGCAGATGACTCATGAACATGAGCCAAATAGATGCTTACAAACAATACTAACTAAAACCAACAAACACATAAGAGGATAAAATTCAGCAACATGAAGGTTAGATAAAATATAGACATTTTTTAGACTAGTGGTGGAAATTGGAAATGTTCTTAGTAAACACTGAATCATTATAAACTTTATTACTGGAAAGTAGAGAATCTAGCTAAATGCTCAACCAAAAATTTCCTTTGGGTATTGAATACATTTTGATAGGACATCAACATAATGTGGGATGGGTGTACTGTGAATTTATTATTCTTCTTCTGAGTCTTTCTCAACTCTCTAAAAACTGTTTGGAAAGTTATGAGCCCTGAGGATCAGGTTCTGTTCTGCACCAAAACTCTTACAGCACAGCTCATACACAAATGCCTTTGTCTATCTACTAGTAAATTGATAAAAAGAGCAACTGATCGCCTTAATATAAAATAGTATCATATCCTATATGTGTATTAAAGTTCTATGTGAAGAAATGTTACTTGAACTTAACTAACTGAATATTCATTAGTTAAATTGATAAGATGTAGAGAGTAAAGGGACATTGAGTCAGGCTCGAAGTCTCATGAGTATCAGTCAAAATTCAACTGGCAGCCAATTAAGATTAATTGTTCAGGAACCAAAAACAGGGGCTGATAATATTGAATGTCTTGATTAATGAACTGAATGATAGGTTGCATGTATTCACAGCAAGTAAGTGGACAATACCAACTTGGGGAAAAGTGGTCAGTGTGCAGGAAGGCAGGGCTGCTGTTCAAAAGCTCCTAGACAGACTGGAGAAATGGGCTGACAGGAACCCCACAGCAGTCAGTAACCACACCAAAGCAGGAATAATGCCATCCGCCTGTACATGCTTGGAGCCACCCACCATTAAAGTAGTTTTGCAGAAAAGAACTTGGAAAATGACATTTCAAAGCTTATCTAGGCAAGACCCTTAGCGAACTGATCTAACTGGACTTGGCTTAAGCAGAGGTTTGGGTCAGATGACCTTCTGGATGCTCCACATGGATCTGTGTTCTTGGCTTTAATGAGTTTGCATCTCATGTTTTACTGCTGGTATCTCTGATAAAACTTAAGTGCAGTTCCAATGGTGGACTGTGCTCAATCTTGCTTGGTGGCTTTCTACTATGAAATTATTCTTCATTCACAGAGATACTTGTTTTCATTATATGTAATAGTTTATTCTGGATTTCTCTTTTGAGACTGCAGAGTTTTAGAAGTCCATTTCTCACAGTATTCTTGGATATTTGCCACATCTTTCTTCACTATGTTTATTTTTAATGTAATAAAATACATTTTAATCCATCACCATTATGAATAGAGTAAATTTTACGATTCCAAAAGCTCAGTCAATTTTATGTCTACTATTTTTGTTCTGAAAATTCCTTTTGATGACAACATCTCTTCCATACAGCTAAACTAAGGAAGACATTTCTAAGATGTATGTTTGGCTTATTCTTCTTCCCTGCCAAGAGAACAATGCTTTTGCATTTTCTAAGTATTTGAAATGTAAGTGAAGTGATTTCTTATTTGCAAATGTGACACTAAACTAATCTTCACAACTCAGACACATTGCTTGCCTTGAAACTCCAGAGAACTAACACTCTTGTGTCAATTATCAACACTCTTCTTAGATGCAATAGACTCTATTGCCTGGAAAAAGACTTGTGCATCCCCTTGCCTGCGCTTCTGACATGTCAGTACAAAGAAGGAGTTACGTTTCTCGTTAAGATTATAATCAATGGTGAGTTTATTTTATATTCTATGCAACTTTGCCTTTACAGACAGTAACTAAAAGTACCTGAGAACTTCCTGAGTAATTCTCAGAGATCAAAAGTATCCTGACTTCTTCTAGAAAGTGTTAAGTTTAAGCCACTCACGGGTAAAAGCCAAAACAGAAAGAAAATGAGGTTTCCTGGATTTTCAGATTCAGTAGTTTCCTGTTGGTATTGAATGCCCAATACACATTTTCTATGTGAATGATGTGGGAAAAACAACATGTACACTCCATAATCATCACTAATGACCAACTTAATGGTTGGGTGTGATCTGTAGGCATCTCTAGAGTGATGCTGTGTTGAGCATATTCTATGCCATTTTCAAGGAGGACCACATCAGGCAGCATGGGTCAGCAGAGAGCAATACCAACACCTGTAAAAAGAATGTACTCCATTTGGACTGTCTTTGGTATCGTTTTTCATTTGTTCGTTTGTTTTTCCCTTGCATCAGCACAGTTAGGATTGTGCTTCCATTGGGATTTATCTTCATAAAGGACAACTTTGACCAACAACTCTTAAAACTGAGTGGTCCAAATTCACCATCAAGTAAACAGACCAAAGAAAGCAAACAACCCCTCTCACTTGCAAACCCCTTGCTGCTTTATTCGGATTCCTTATAGAAAAGAAAAGGAAAGAAAAGGAAAGAAAAG